AGAGAGAGAGAGAGAGAGAGAGAGAGAGAGAGAGAGAGAGAGAGAGAGAGAGAGAGAGAGTAGAGCTATAACCGATGTGGGGATGCTGAGTGTGTGAGCAGCAGAGCCACTAATGACATTAACAATTTTGTATAATAATGATAATTCAGTGACGATTTCTTCATGTGTTGATTGGATCTTGGGCTTGGCTTCTCACGTTTGAGCTCTCATGTGATTGGTCATTGCATGTTTTGCGAGGTTGAGTCCTATGAGAACTTGGATCATTTCACCAAAGAGTGAGGGCCGTGTTTCATCAGCGATTTACCCCACGAAGATGGAGGTGGGGTATGTAGGACTTGAACTGCCACGTAATCAACCCCAACCTTCCCTTCAGCCCCGCCCCCCCCCCCTTCTGAAGATCTTATCGTCTCTTCGTCATGGCCGACAAAAAAGAACAGAAGAGAGCAAACGTAGAGAAAGGTCCATGCAATTTTAGCAATTTTTGGAAAACTTAATTGCAAAGTCAAACTTGATTACGAAGTTCTCATACCTCTCGGCCTCATTTGCCTTTTCCAGATACTTAATTTGTGTCTTCAAAGCAGCAATTTGTCCCTCCAATGCCGCAATTCCTTCCATTCGTTTGCCGATCCGTTCTGTGACCTTCTTGTTCCCCATCTCTTCCCTGATTCGCGCCTCGTTCTTTTCATGGCGCTTGATCTTTTGATGCAGTTCCTCCACCTGATGCACAAACACGGAGAAATATATGACAAACAATTGAAAAGAAGTGAAAAAAAAAGGAAAAAAAAAAAAGAAAAAAAAGAAAGAAAGAAAGAAGGTATAGCTTGTAAAGAGAGGGGGGGGAGGGCGGGGGGCAACCATGATATTAGGAGCATTAGGCAGAATGGCTCAAAACAAAGTCAAAAGACTTGTAGCTTATAGGTCGATTGGCCATGTAGTTTACCTTCTAATTGGTTTTTCATTATGGAACTAATGAGGGGGGTATACAGTCTTCTTTACTAATAGGTGTTTTCATTTATGTAATCATAATGATGACCATCAAATTCAATGTATTTCGAAACGGGGGGAGGAGGGGTAAGAGGGGGGTAGGAGGGGGGTAGGAGGGGGGTAGGAGGGGTGTATGGGCATCCAAGTTCATGTGAGAGCTTCGTACAAGAAGGACTTGGTGTTCTTTACCAGAAAAGGAAATAAGTCTCTGGCAGCAACAGCAGTAGTATGCCTTTCCAGAGACTTATTTCGCAAAGGTACTACTGCTCTTGCTGCCAGAGACTTATTTCTTTTTCTGGTAAAGTATGGTATGTGGTCTGATCCTCGAGACTCGAGAGTCGAGACCCACCCACCCACACGCACACACAAAAAAACAAAAGGCAAACAAACAAACAAACCGAAATTAAGAAGAAACATATGAGCTAAGAAGACAAGGTGCAAGAGAGACCACATTGGCAAATTCAAAAGTTAAAACTGAAAACATATGGGCCAAAAAAAACATATGGGCCAAAAAAACATAGGGGCAAAGAGACTTTTTTTTGAATTTTTCAGTGTTTTTTTTATTTATTTATTTAAGCAACAGAGAAAGTCAAACAGAGCTAGCTATTCATCTGTTTCACTCCCCGTCCCACAACAGGTATAGGTGAAGCCTGAGATTTAAAGATTTCTGCAATTTTTTTTTCTGAGGAAAATTCAGGGAATGCTGTGTTGTCTGTGCGTGCAAGAGCACATCTGATGAGTCTGAGTCTGCATGTGAGTAGTTTCTGTGTCCCGAGAGGGGCAGTACAGGAAATAAGCGTACAGACAGGGGTAGGACTGAAATAGGACGATGGACGGACTAGGGGGGAACTGTGGTACGAAGAGGGACAAAAGTAAAATTAAAAAGGGTCCCAGGTAGAGAGATTCCAGTAACGCAAGCAGGGCCAAGAAGTCTCCAGTAGGCTAGCAGGTGTAGTTTTTCAGGGGTAGAACTGAGATTTGGACAACGGACCGACTCAGGGAGAGTTCTAGTATGCGCAGGGACAAACTTAGAATTTACAAGGGACCCGCTGTGGATGGATATTCCACTAACTCTCTTGAATCGTTGCCTGCACAGTAAATCCGCCGACTTTCCGGGGCAATCAATGCTGGATGGGGGGCACCGACCGCTCGTTCTTCTCAGTGGAGCGTTGAAACTGTTTTTGTGACTGTACCGACGTTACCCTCGTTGTAAGGCGAAACTACGCAGGAGTCACAAAAAAGAGTGTGAAAATAGTAAAATACACTTTGGGCAAAAAAGAGTTTCAAATTGCACTTCAGGCAATGTATACAAGCTAGCTTTCCGGTCAAGTAGGGTTGCGTGGGGGTGTGTTGTGTTCGGGGGAATGCCCCCCGAAGTGTAATTTGAAACTGTTTTTGTGACTGTACTGAAGTTACCCGAAGAGTAATTTGAAACTGTTCTTGTGAACATCGTACAGGGGAGACCGGACCCGTTTTCCAGCGGGTGCAGCTCCCAAGGAATAGACGGAGCAACCAGGCCACGTATTACGGGTAGGAGGTGCTGCTCTTATCACATTCCCTAGTAGGGGGGGGACTGGTTTTTCAACAAAAAATAAAAATAAAAATAAAATGATAATAATAAATTAATCATTATAAAAAAGGCCCTGAGGTCTAATAGGCTAGCAGGTAGATTCACGATGGTACCAATCTGCATGTAGCCAGGATCAGGTCTACATACGGGTCCAGCCCGCAAGCTTACAGCCAGCAATGATGCTCCCGCCGAAAGCTCGGAGCAATAGGAAGGCCGGGCAGTTCCAGGAGCATCATTGCTGACTGTAAGCTTGCCTGTCGGACCCATATGTAGACCTGATCCTGGCTAGATGCAGGCGGGGTGAAGAGGCAAGTGTGGCCAAGAAGAGGACATCATTCATTCGCTGCAATGAGTAATCCGAGAAGTGGCTCAGCCAGCAGTCATGCTGCTGCTCTGCCCTGAGGAAGACTGAGGTGGAGCACTGGGAGGAAGGAGGAGCTGAAGGTGAGCAAGATGACCTCCACGGCTTTTGACCCAGCTGAATGGGAATGCGGGAGGGCCAACCCGGCCCCATGCCACTGGGAGAGTACAGAGTTAAAGGGGGGTACAGAGCGGCACGGCCACAAGCAGAGACCAGCAACACCGTAACAAAAGGTGGGAAAGGGACTAGGATGTAAAGCCACCCTAAACCCTAAGCCCTAAAACCTAAACCCTAAACCCTAAACCTCTCCCTCGAAAGTACTAGTAGGAGGAAAAAGAACTCTTTGGAAGTAGAGGGGGAAGCACCTCAAGCTAGGCTATGGAGGTAGGTAGGTGGAAAGGGTGAGTAGAGTAGACGGGAGGAGGAAGAAGGAGGGGGCGGCAGAGAGACTTACCTTTGGCTATGGTGGACCCTCATCTCCATGTCCTTGGTTCGCACTTCACCTAGAAGGCCCCTGCTGGGGTACTAGATGGACATGGCCATCGTCCAAGAGTGTGGCTATGGAGGTAGGACATGGGAGAATCATGGTAGTCATGCTTTGTCCTCCGAACATCCTTGCTAGGCATGGGTGAACCGCCATAGTCTTGTGGAACCTTGAGGGGGAGAGAGAGAGAGAGAGAGAGAGAGAGAGAGAGAGAGAGAGAGAGAGAGAGAGAGAGAGAGAGAGAGAGAGAGAG